GCAGGAACTCTGTGAAGTCTTAACCCCTTCATATGCTTATTTAGCAAACATAATTGTCATTTTGACTGCAGATTTTCCCACAGGTAGAGGCAGGACTAAGCTATGAGATGGTGATCTTGTCAGTTTGCATTTCTTAATACAGAAAGAATTGATCTGATGTGTAGAGATCTTTCCTGTTCTACTTAGTTCAAGATGGTTCTAGAAAGTTTTCTTTCTATGTGAAAGAAGCAGGAAGAAGGTTTCTGATGTTTGGATTATTTCTTCTGGAAAGCTGAGTACAGCTGGTTTAAACAGCTTCTGTTATCTTTTTGTCAAGGTCATACTTACTATAATAAGACCAGGAGGAGCCTGGGTTTTCCTCACTTTCTGTTTTCTATCACTTTTTGTTCTAGTGTTCCTGAATGTATTGGATTTGTGACCATTATGCTCATTTGCCTTCAGCACCAGTAAAAGCTCTGCTGGATGAAGTACAATTGCCTCTGGTCTATTTTTTGGAACTTCGCTACGTGTTTAAATTTTTTTCTCCTCCGGTGCTGGCATGTCAGATCATAAAAATGTTTCCTGTGTTCCTGTAAGGTTTAAACTGGGATCCAGTGATTCACTAGAGTTGCCATATTTATTCTGACAGTACTCCTCTTTAACAGCAGAATGGCAGATACTTAACAGGTGACACATTCACACATTCCCCGCTGGATCAGGCCAAGCGCCCATCGGGTTAAGCCTCCTGTTCTCACCGTGTTCCCACATGACTCAGCTGTTCAAAATTCCTGCAGTTGTGTGGAATCCAGCTAAGTGAAAACAGCAATGCTACTCTGGTAATATAGCATGTCAGCCTAAAAGTGGTAAGGGATCCTGCCCTCTTTGGTATTTCCTGCAGTTCTGGTCCCAGAAGTATTATGTACCGTACTTTCACTTCTAGTGTGAGAGAGAACAGGAAAATTATAATCCTCTGCAGATTTACTCACACAGATTCCATGGAAATCAATGGGACTTCTAGCATGAGGCATAATCCTGTAAACTGAGCCTGCTGCTGAGATTGCCTTGCACTGGAAGGTAAGTACTGAGGTCTCATTGAAGATATTTTATTTGTGGACAATCAGATTTGGCACCCAAAAGCAAATTCTGGGAATCAGGTGAATTATTTTTGAAACTTGAGGAATTATGAATAATCCCTAATGGCATCTTGACTGACCTTTTGAAACAACTGCTATGATGGGGATAAGATGAACAAAACTAGATGAAACTCATATTCTTTGTCTCATAATATAAATAACAACTATTCATCTCTGTTTGACTTGTTGCTCGTGTAGGGTCATTGATGATTAGGTGAAGCTAAAGGACCCCTGGACGTTTAAATGGGAGCAGATGGCGCAGTGGTCTAAGCCACTGAGCCCCTTGGGCTTGCCAATCAGAAGGTCAGTGGTTCAAATCCACGTGATGGGGTGAGCTCCCATTGCTCTGTCCCAGCTCCTGCCAACCTAGCGGTTAAAAAACACAGCAGTGCAAGTAGATAAATAGGTACCGCTCCGGAGGGAAGGTAACCGGCGTTTCCATGTGCTCTGGTTTCCATCATGGTGTTCTCTTGTGCCAGAAGCAGTTTAGTCATGCTGGCCACATGACCCGGAAAGCTGTCTGTGGACAAACGCCAGCTCCCTTGGCCTGAAAGCGAGATGAGCGCCGCAACCCCCATAGTTAAGTTTGACTGGACTTAACTGTCCAGGGGTCCTTCACTTTTACCACTGGTAATTTTTTTTAAGGGGTAATTTTTAAAAATTGCTTTTAGTAAAGATTTTTGGGTTACATAAAGGGATCCCTGACCATTAAGTCCAGTTGCGGACGACTCTGGGGCTGCGGCGCTTATCTCGCTTTACTTGCCGAGGGAGCCGGCATACAGCTTCCGGGTCATGTGACCAGCATGACTAAGCTGCTTCTGGCGAAACCAGAGCAGCGCACGGAAATACCGTTTACCTTCCTGCCAAAGCGGTACCTTTTTATCTACTTGCACGTTGACGTGCTTTTGAACTGCTATGTTGGCAGGAACAGGGACCGAGCAACGGAAGCTCACCCCGTCACGGGGATTTGAACCGCCAACCTTCTGATCAGCAAGCCCAAGAGGCTCAGTGGTTTAGACCACAGCACCACCTGCATCCCTTCCAGCCACTGCCTTAACTGGTCTCTTAAAATGACTCTACCTTTTTCCCCCTTCCCACCCCACATGCCAGCAATTTCCTCAAGAGAGGCTGGATGGTCATCTGTCAGGATTTCTTTAGCTGTGGTCCTGCTCTGCAGGGGGTTTGACTAGATGACCCTTACAACACTACAGTTCTAGGATTCTACTAAATGCTTTCTCAAAACCCACCTGTTTGATGCAGTCTTTGATCTATATGCCATCCAGTCTTCATCCCAGCTGCAACAAGGTCTAAGGATAAAGACTCCCAGATGTTCTAAATTGGGAAAAGTGGCTTTGAAAACATATATGCAATCTGGAAACCCAATACAATTTTTTTCTTTCCTTTTTGTTCCCACTGTAGACAGTAGGTTCCTTGGGGAAGGGCCTGTCTTAATTTATTTTGGGTTTTTTGGCTTGCACTGTATCATCATCATCATTGTAAAATAATCTATCTACTGTTTAATGCCAAGATAGGCTTTTAAGAGCTAAAATGTAGTAGTAAGGAGATTGATAGAGCTGTGCCACAGAGCTCTCTCTCTCTCTCTCTCTCTCTCACACACACACACACACACACACACACACACACAAAAACATGCAATGAAAATATGATAGTAAAAATGACATAAATTGCATGTTTATACTGAAGAAAAGCTGCAGTTCTTATTTGATTTGGGTCACAAAACCAAAAGAAAGCATATTGATGGTTCCTGATCCCTGAAAGAGGCTATAAGGTCAGAAATTTGAAAGATGAGTAAGAAATTTGAAAGATGACTTCTATTTAGAACATGCACTTAACTTAATCAAGAAAACTTGATCAACTTAATTAATTAACTTAATCAAGAAAAGCAAGCATTTCAGGTTAAGCAGGTACTTAGTACCTTGTTCAACTGACAGAATTCAGATCATACAACATGAGGTTATTGGGAATTTCCCATCAAATTACACTGAGTGTCTTACACACATAAAACTACTGTGGGTAGGAATTTTCCAAAATAATAATAATAATAATAATCAGATGACCTTTTATGCTGTAAATCTCTGAGACTGGAATCCTGTTTTGTCCTCAGTGCATGATAATCTCTTTTCATTTTAATTAACTGGAGATTTTCCTTTGGTTTCATATTTTTCTAACAATACTCCTTCTTTAACCCTGTTGCAGTCTTAGTTGCTGCTCCAGAGAAGCGGACACGGAGCAATGGATCCAAACTACAAGAAAGAAGATTCCTTCCACCTAAACATTAGGAAGAACTTCCTGACAGTAAGAGCTGTTCGACAGTGGAATTTGCTGCCAAGGAGTGTGGTGGAGTCTCCTTCTTTGGAGGTCTTTAAGCAGAGGCTTGACAACCATATGTCAGGAGTGCTCTGATGGTGTTTCCTGCTTGGCAGGGGGTTGGACTCGATGGCCCTTGTGGTCTCTTCCAACTCTATGATTCTATGATTCTATACATGCAGAAAATAAACATAAGCACATTAAGACCCCCTGCTCAGCGCCCAGGGCCCCAGTCCTGCCACTCACCACCTGGCCAGGGCGGGGCCTGATGGGCTCTATAAAGGGCTGCTGCTGCTGAGCAGAGAGGGCTCCGTTTTGTTTTGTTTAAATTGCTGTTATTTTTTACCTATGTCATTTTAAACTGTGATATTAATGCTGTATTCTTAATTTTAGATTTATGTGGAAATTGCTCCCCATTTGGTTGTGCATTTTTTAAAAATGTGGTTTATTTATTGTTTATGACTTTTGTAATTACGTAAATCTTGTTATGCAGTAAGTCGCCTTGAGCATTGTTTTTTTTAACTGTGGAAAGGTCGGCATAAAAATAAAAAATGACGATGATGATGATAAGACGGACATCTGTCTTTGCAGCAAGATGCAACCTCATCTGGGTTTGGCTGTGCAGGCAGCAAGAATATACAAGCTGGAGCACAGAATACTTTTGATTTTGAAGAGCTCACACACAAAACAGATGGGACCCACACCACCTGAAAACACACAACAGAACTTTTACTTCTCGCTCCTAAATAAATTATTCTCAAAAACTCCAAAACCTCCTCCAAGCTTGTGGGATAAATGGGTAAGAAAAAGCTTAGCATGCCTCACTCTGCTGTTGTATCCGCCTGCGTTGTGAAGAAATGACCAGGTCTCACTTTGCTGTGGTAATGGCTTGAGAGACTGCTTGCTTGCAAGACTGCTTGCTTTGCAAGGACAGAGGAAACTTGTGGTAACAAATACTGTATAGAATTCGCTGACAGCAGCCTACAGCTTGTGGGTGACTCAGAATCACGAGGAAAAATGGAGGAGAGCAGTTAAGAGAGCTATTGTGCATGCTTAAAAGGGCTATAACTAGTAGGCAAACCACCCCTGGTGGAGATACAGCTAATTAACATCAAGATGTGATGTATGTAATGGTGGGGGTACATATCAAGGGGAGAATATGAAATAGGCAGAAGTCTGTAAACTGCAATAAACCAGTAACCAATAGGAGATGGAAGGAGGGAAATTCGGATGGGCTTTAGGGTATAAAGCAGCGATGGCAAACCTTTTAGAGACCAAGTGCCCAAACTGCAACCCAAAACCCACTTATTTATCGCAAAGTGCCAAGACGGCAATTTAAGCTGAATTGGTGCATAATCTGCAGTAGCTGCCACTACTCTGACTCCTATTGAGCCCTAAAGAAAGAAGTACCTGGTTACCATTTTGCATTGCATCTGGGGAATTTGTGTGAAGTCTAGGCAAGCGTTCTCAGTGTTTGCATTGAAAGAGAAGATGCCTAGAGATCTTTTTGCTGTTCATTAACCTAACAATTACCCCTTCTCAGCACCGTTGTCTGCCTTCATGAAGGTAAGTGTAGTTAATACGTTTGGACATCAACACCACAAGACTGGGTTTGCCTTCTCTATGAGATACTCATCTTCTCCGTTAGGCTAAAATACTTGTTTCTGCAGCAGCTAGAGCTGCTTTTAGAGAAAGTGAATTCCAACAGTGTTTTCCCAGCTCCCTTGCCCAGCTCTAACCGGCCCCTGCGCAGGGTGCCCGTTGTGGCCCCGGGCACGCCCTCACCGCTGCACTTGACGCCAGCAAGTGGGCGGCGATCATGGCACGGCCAGTGGGGCCTGGAGCCCCGGTGCTGGGTGAGGGGCAACGAGGACGGGGCGGAGGCGGCCCTGCCTGGCTACCCGGCGCTGGAACAAAGGGGCTTCTTGAAGCTCGCCAGCAATGCCATCCTCCTCTGCCAGCTCCCGCGTGACACGCCCTGCCCGACGCCTCCCAGTGGCCGGAGGCTGTGCAAAGCCTCAGGAGGAAGGCGGCTGCTCAGCTGCCCAAGTTGAGCTGAGCCCTCGCCGCCTGCCGGCGCTGTGCTGGGGCGACGGTGTGCGTGCCCAGAGAGGGCTCCGAGTGCCACTGGTATGAAGTATCTATGATATAAACAGGACGGGGCCCTCCCTCTCTGCAGCATGAGCTGGGAAGTGTCCGTCCAGCGCAGTTTCGTGAATAAACAACTTGTGGTTTTGTCTGATCTTGGTGTTGATTCCCTCTGGGGAAGATCCCTGGGGCAAATTTGTCCAACAAAGCTATGCCCAAAATCTACCCAATTCTGCCACAATTGCTCCTTCCAAACTTCCTTGCTCAAACCCCAACTCTCCGCAGGCCTTAAAGGTCAGTGCAAAGGCTCACGAGATTGCTGTCTTCATGCAGTTTTTGCCATTTTCTTGCCACTTTGGGGTTTGAGAGGATGTGCATGTGTTTGGTTGCGCATGACTCGAACATGCGTAAATGGGGAGCTGCTTGTACAGTCTAGTCACTGGGTAGCCCTGAACTTGATTTTATTTGGGTGGAATCAAGTGTTTCCTGTAGCTGTTCTGTTCTTGTTGAAGAGAGAAAATAAAATCTTGTCCAGCCTCTTGACTGGTGTGCCCTCTAAGTCTGCCATCCCACCGTGCATCTGGTACACAACGTTTGTGCAAACTAATGAGCTATTCAGTTTTTTCACCAAAATCCTCACCTATAGACACTGGCTAATGGGTTAGGGAAGAGTTGGGCATCCTGTCCTAGACCCTCAGAAAACGACTCTTCTGAGAAAATACAGACTCACTTGGAACTTCCCTCTGAGTCTGATGGTTGCCGCTGTCATTTTTCCTTCATTGCCTTCCTGCGGCTTCTCCTTCCCTGTCTTGGGACAGAAGCAGCCAAGCAGGCTGGGAAGGGCTGGGACCGCACAGTCAGGTGGGCCTAGTCAGGTTATCCAGGCTGACTGCCACCTGGGGAGTCCCTCTGGCAGGGGACTGGGCAGCCATTTCCTCTCTGTTCTCTGTAAGATTTCAGAGTTCGTTTGCCTCAGTTGTGAGCAGAGTCAGTATGGAATCTCAGTCAAACTATTTGGAAACATGTTGTTTATGAAGAAGTTTATTTTACCTCAGTAAAGCTCTTATTCTCTAAAACTCTGCATTATTAATTCACCCCCATCTTTCTTCCGCCCAGGGGTCCCAGTTATCTAGCTAAATATGAATATGCTAACGCTGACCCCTGAGAACAATGGTTTTCCTAGCCTGCTCTGTTTCTTCAAAAAACTTGTAAGCATCTGGGCAGCTTTCACTGAAAATAATAAGTTGGAAGGATGAGTAATACATAGCAAAACTATCAAACACTCCCGTCGTTGAATATCCCTTCCCATTTCCAACTCTTCTGTCCCAGTTTTTTCACCATAAAAAACCCACAAATACTCTCCAAAACCTGCCCCTATCAAAACACAAATAGTGAAACTATGCAAACTGAAGCAAATAATGTAAAGTGATGGAAAAGCACAACAATTTATTTTCCATTTATAGAAGTCACTTTGACACAGAGTTTGGCTGCCATGGTTGCAGAATCTGATTCATTAGGACAAAAGTACAGAAACTGCTACAGAACAGAATGCTGAAAACTCTGACCACCATCATTATTATTATTATTATTATTATCATTATTATTATTTTTTTATTATTATTATTCCCTGCCCATCTAGCTGGGGTTCCCCAGCCACTCTGGGCAGCTTACAGTAAATATAAAATGTTCTGTAGTTCTTTATCTCCTTGACATCTGATGGTAGGGCGTTCCACAGGGAGGTGCCACTGCCGAGAAGGCCCTGTGCCTCTAGGCATCTGGTTTGCTCATAATGTAAAGATAGAAAATAATGTCCATCTGCTGTGGTTGAATGAGGCACAATGTGCTTACCTGGAGCATCAGTTTGTCTCATTTTGTCTTTCTCTTCTTCAAGAAGACTTCTCTTTCCAATATGCAGGAAACTGTGGTTTGTGGGGAACCATTTTCACTCTGTTTGAATAAGGAGTATCCACTGACCACAAAAGCTTACACTTGCCGGTTGTGGGATAGAACTTTGAGTTCTTTTTAAGGCTGTGATTGGAAAAATGCAGCTTGTCCTGGGGAAACCGAAATATCAGACTGGCAGGTTTGCTGTCTAATTAACTGGTAAAACTGATATCAATCACAGATTGCACTGTGGTCAGAGACTGCAAGCAGCCCTCTCTCTTTGGCCCTTGATTCTGTACAGAGCCTTTTGTTCATGTGTTGCCACAAGAGCCCAAAATTGTTCCACAGTTGTTTAGGGGCAATAAGTCGGAAAAGCTGACGGAATTATTTAAACTTCATTATATACATGTAAGGGGCAGAACAATGGACAATATAGCATTGTTCTTACACAGAAACACATATATGCACCCAGTGAGAGTATTCCATATGAATTCCATTCTTTTTAAATAGCAGTAAAGGTTTTGCAGGTTCACTTATTCATGACATGACACTGGAAATGTAGATGGGTTCTGGCATGACCCAAGACCAAGATTCAGCTCAAAAGGATTTATTGTAACATCAGGAACAAGAAGAACAAGAATGGCAAACGGGCTAGGAAGAAGATTTATCCATATAGAGGCAACCTTGGAAATTTCAATGGCAGGATACATCAGTGAGAGTTTACTTGGTTTAAGGGGTGGACGACCAAAGATTGAATTGCCAAAGTTCTCAAGGAAATACAGCCTGCCTTTCCCTGACATGATGGGCTAGTTGTTATGGGGGAAACACCTTGAGCTAGATGGTCATCCTTGAAACTCCTATTTTAAATTGGACAATAGGTTATAAGCGGTGAGAGGAGATACGTGGACTGACAATTAAAGAGGATTTGGACAGGAAGAATCTTGGGCAAAGTGGACTGTGCATTTAAGAAATAAAGAGAAAACATCTAAAGAAAGTGAACTATTAGGTTTTTATACACACAGAAGGAAGGAAAGGAAATTTATTTTAGAAATAATAATTATTGATCAATTGTGTATTGACAATTTGATGAGCACCTCATGTAGATAATGGAAATGTTAAAATATTGTATCTGCAGGAATGGGCAAATGGATAGAAGGATAAGTAAAAAAAAAGTAATATAAGGTTAATTCTAGGGAATGGAATGTGAATTAGAAATAACAGGGAAAGTAATGTAGCAAGAGGAAATTGTGAACATATTGAGGATAGGGGCAAGTATTCAATTTTTGGAAAAATTGTATTAATTTTGTTTTAATTTGTGTCTGATTTGTTAAAATTTGTAAAATCAATAAAAACGATCTGGCAAAAGACAGAACATAAGACTTGTCTTGCTGGAGTACACTGAAATCATTTCTCTCCCAGGCACCTGGGAGAAGCAGTTAAACACGGGGTTGCAACAACAGTCCTCCATTGTACTTGGCAACCCTAAATTATGCCACTTCTGTTACCATTTATTCAATTTATTTTTATTATGTACTCTTGTATGTTCTTCCTTTATTAGAGAGGTATTTAATGTTTCCAGTCAAGCTTCTAAGTGCAAGTAGGCTCACAAAATAATTGAGGTTGCAATCCTACACACCGGCACTTGGTAGCTAGTCTGACTGGATTCAGTGGTTTCTTCTGACAGAACTGATCAGTCAATGATTTAGGCTTGCAGCCTTAACAGTAGTAACATAGTAGTGTCTTGAGGAAGAGTTGTTATTGCCTTAAAAACACAAATGTCCTCACAGGAATTCCAGGTCACCCGCTGTCAGAGACAAGACACCATTTTCATGTTTTCCAAATAATTTGAGCCTCCCCAAGCATAATTAAGACAAAAATTAAGAAAGATTTGGCTGCTACAGCGAGTAAAATGTGAGGCATGAAGCCAAATGGCTCAAGAGAATAAAATGATTCCTGTTCAGTCAAAGAATCACTTCAGACATATTTTGGTTCAAGGTGTGGGTACAGCGATATAACCAAGCCACCTTAAAATTATGGGATTGATATTGTTGCACCCAAACCTAGTGAGTAGTAACTGGCTCAGATTTTTATAATGAGGACAGAATGATAATTCCTCTTCAACCCTGTGTCTTTATAGTACAGTGTCAACTTCTATTTAAGTTGGGTTAGCGGGAGGAAATTGCAGTGGAGAAGCTTTTGGGAAAATCTGCTGTTTAGTTCTAAATCGGAGAAACAGCAATCTGCAGAAAACCCAATTGCTGTTTTTGCTGATCCAGCACTGCAGAGTGTTTTTTTCCTGGGGGAAAGCAGTGGGACAAGCCCTCAGTTGATGCTTCAGATGGTCATCCATACTATATTTCTTCAGCCAAGTCCTTGAGCTGTAAATTGCAGGGGTGAGTGAAAGTTAGTAATCTCCTGCTTTTGTAAGGCATGTTTCTTACATTTTTATTTGCCTATTTTATAATGCTGTGATATACTCTGAAGGCTTTGACTGGCAAAAAGCAGGATTAACATTCACCAAACCAGTCAACAAGTCCTCCCCATCTTCTCTGTCTCACACACATGCATAGTAAATCCAGAAATAAATGTCTCATTATAAAGTGGTTTAAATTGGATTTATTGGAGGAAACCATTCTTAATATCCCTTAAATTATCATTATGATAGAAATCTTGATATGTATACATGATTGTCAAGGCAGAGAATAATTTGCAACAGTAGCCCCATTAACAATTTGCAGCATCGCAAACTCCTTACGCAGGTTTAACATTTTGCAATGTCTTCTTACATGCATTGAGTAAATACACAATTCTCCTTCTCTTGGAACAAGGACAGTGTTATGAAATTGAACCAATCACAAGACTTATTATATTAGGCACACTGACATTCCTGGATTAAATTGTTATGCTTTATTAAAATTTTATTTTATAAAACATGCTTGCATCTTTGTTTTTTTCTTTAAAAAATTAATATTAATAAAGAGATGTTTTGCCATAAGTGCTGCTTGAGGAATATTTCCAGGTTTTTTCCTCTGATTAAACTGAGCTTTTAAAAAGCTAAAACGAACGACTACTTTTCATGAAA